TTAAAATTCCTTTTAAATATTTGTATATTTATCGTTTTTATCTTTAAAATTGTCTTTTAATGATGTAAGCTGCCTCTTTTTTACTAATTCTTCTGACCTTTAAATATAAGCTTTTAATTATGTAAACCACCATTGTATACTCATTGTTTTCAGCTTTAAATATTGTCCTTCAATGATGTAAGCTGCTTTGGGTCCTTTTTAAGGAGAAAGGTGGGAAATAAACCAATCAATCAATCAATCAATCAATCAATCAATCAATCAATCAATCAATCAATCAATCAATCAATCAATCAATCAATCAATCAATAAGGCTTCACTGTTGAGTCCTTTCTCCAGTTCATCATGCAGCAAATCTGGGAAATGTGGGTAGAATGGTCCCATTGAGGCCACCGGATGGCAGAGTTTGGTTAAGAGTAGCTAAGAATCTGCTAAATCAGTTTGGAATCTTTTAATCCTTACAGTTTGAGAGCCAAATCACAGGGTATGTATATTGGCTTGAATCTGGTGCTAATGTAAAGTAACTCATCAAGAAGTAGTCTGGAGTATAAAAATTGTGTGGACAGCACTGTAAAGTGTTTAACTTTCTTGCTTTTTCACTGCCCCTGCCTGTTCCATCACAAAGTTTCAGATGTAGAGTTCCAGGTTGGTGGATAACTGTATTTGGATCATGCAAAAGTTACAAGCAAAGTGAGCTTTCATGTTCTCAGAGAACTCTTCATTATAAAACTTTTAAGGAGGCAAGGATCCAAATAGTCCAAACTAAAACAGCACCAACACACACACACACATGCTTGGATTACATGTGATGGCCATTGATCTTGCATGCAGACTGCTGGCAACAGTATGGATAAGAGAGAGACTTTTTAATCTCAATTTTTTAAAAATGGAAATCATATCTTGGCCCTATCTTTTCACTGTATGTTTCCTCCTCTACCTGCAAATTTTATTCTATCTTTACTTGACAAAGAAGTCTGTAGGAATTCAAAAACTCAACTTGTTTGTAACTTTTTAGCAATCCAACAAAAGTCTTATGCAACGAAGAACCTTGCTTCAACAGACGGGTCATAAGTGGAACAAGTAAATGCCTTCTGGAATTTTGGGACAAGGTGCCGCCTCCTAGGTCCACAAGCCATTCCAGCTGCAGATATGAATTTCTTCTTTATGATGTTTATGACTTCCTCTTTATTTTGAAGTAAGGTAAGACAGCATTTTTCCAGTAGTGATGTATGGAAGTGAGAGCTGTACCATAAAGAAAGCTGACCACTGAAGAATTGATGCTTTTGAATTGTGGTGCTGGAGGAGACTCTTGAGAGTCCCCTGGACTTCAAGGAGAACAAACCTATCCATTCTGAAGGAAATCAACCCTGAGTGCTCACTGGAAGGACAGATCCTGAAGCTGAGGCTCCAATACTTTGGCCATCTCATGAGAAGAGAAGGCTCCTTGGAAAAGACCCTGATGTTGGGAAAGTGTGAAGGCAAGAGGAGAAAGGGACGACAGAGGATGAGATGGTTGGACAGTGTCACCGAAGCGACCAACATGAATTTGACCCAACTCCGGGAGGCAGTGGAAGACAGGATGGCCTGGTGTGCTCTGGTCCATGGGGTCACGAAGAGTCGGACATGGTTTAACAACTAAACAACAACAAAATACAGCATCAAGAGCATCCATTTCATGGACACCAATCCCCTACACAATGGCTAAAACTGAGGAACAGTTTTTTGAAGACATCTCAGACTTTGAATATTTCACCAGAAGAAGCTAGATTACATTTATGGAGAACAAAAGCAGCATGCCTTCTGAATGGATGAATGGTGAAGAATGTCTCCCACCAGGACCATACTCTAGCTCAATGATTTCCAACCTTGGGTCCCCAAGATGTTCTTGGACTGCAGCTCTCAGAAATCTTGGCCAGCACAGCTAGTGGTGAAGTTTTCTGGGAGTTCTAGTCTAAGAACATCTGCAGACCCAAGGCTGGGAACCATTGTTCTAGCTGCACCATCTGGAAGTAACTTATTAGACATCAGAGGGCAGTAGGAAGATTAGAGAATAATCAAATAAGACAGGGCTGCTTGGACACAGGGCAATCTTTCTATGACTGCGGAGAGATTTAATCAATTCATGCAATTTATTCCCCACCAGATCTAGCAAATGGCTGAGAAAACTCTATTGAAGAAGCCTGCTTCTAGTCAAAAACAGTCTAATCACCTCAACATTTTAATTTGTTCTTAATTTTACCTATGTTTCATATACATCTAAAATTTTAAATTGTGCAATTCTCTAATATGAAAAAGGAAAGAAAGATTATGTTTCTTGTTTATGGTGCCATATGGTTGTACAGCTATGAAGCTTTTCCTCTAACAGTCTCATCAGAACTTTCTGTAGTTTCCAAGAAGCCAGATGATTACTCCTTAGACTTGAGTTATTGGTATTAATGTATGAAATGTGCCACAGAGTAAACTGTTGGACCTATTAGCTCAGCCAGGTTTGAGGAAGTCTCTAACTCTTCAGGGAGGGGGAGGGGGATGGCAGCACCTTTCCCAAGTCCTCCCCTGGAGTCACCTGCCCCATGGCTGAAACCAGGGCTGAAAGACGAATTCTGTGCTTCTCTCTGGATGAAGAAAATTACAGATTCCTCCATGCCTCATGTGCCTCTGCAACTGCAATCTCTGATCAGTGATCAGAGATGACACTAAGATTTCCACCCGGCTTGCCTTCCAAAGGAGAGGACAGGCAGGGCAGGGAGTCATCCCTGTAAAGTGGTGCCTCGCTAGACAGTTACCCCGCATGACAGTTTTTTCGCTAGACATTGACTTTTTGCGATCGCTATAGGGATTCACAAAACAGTGATTCCTATGGGGGAATTTCACTGGACAATGTTTGGTCCCTGCTTCACAAACAAAAAAAAAGATAAAAACAAAACCCAATCAAAATATTTTGCTACAATTGACCAGAAAGATTGCTGATCCTCAAACACAACCTAATAACCTTCACCCTTTATGTTGCAGTTTATTGCCCAAAATAAAAGTGTTATGTGCTCACGAATACCTTACTCCAGCTTTACAGAGAAGTCTTTTGAATCAAAGAAATCTTTGTAGTCCCAGCCACCTTAGCAGTTTCATCGGTTAGACATTTCTCCAGTGGTTAGAGATGTCACTGGTATACAGTAGGACCACAGTATCTGTGGGGGATCAGTTCCACCCCTACCCCCTACAGTTGCTGAAAAGCACAGGTATAGAAATGCTATATACTGGTTTCGTAGTCTCTGGTTTCATACAATGGCCAGTTCTGGTAATACACATTGGAGCCATGTATTTCAGAGGGTGGGTGTTAATATTTTCAGGCAGTAGGGAAGTGAAGCCATGTGTACTGATACTGCAGTCCTATTGTATAGCGAAACTAGAGAGAGCAAGATCTTAACTTTCTTTTGGGGGAAAGGAGATAAAAGATAACATACCTACTTCCTGTTGTCAAGTTTTTCTTCACTGAAATGAATGAAGTCAACTGTATAGTATTGGCTAGATTAGACTTGGCCATTAAAATTTTCCCTATAAGTTCACAGTAAGGTATGAAAGTATAGGGGAAAAGGTAAGAAAAGTTGTTGAGAAGTGATAGCATAAGGAGACTTTGGCCAGTATCCAGTTTGTTGCCACATAATGTAAAGTTATGCAGGTATAGCTTTGCTGTGCATTATACCCAGGGAATGCAGATATGCAGTCAGTCACATAGTTCCTTGTAATGAGGGTGAAAGACGAGAGTGCAAAAAACGGTCTGAAACTCAACATCAAAAAAACTAAGATCATGGCCACTGGTCCCATCACCTCCTGGGAAATAGAAGGGGAAGATATGGAGGCAGTGACAGATTTTACTTTCTTGGGCTCCATGATCACTGCAGATGGAGACAGCAGCCCCGAAATTAAAAGACGCCTGCTTCTTGGGAGGCAAGCAATGACAAACCTTGACAGCATCTTAAAAAGCAGAGACATCACCTTGCCAACAAAAGTCCGAATAGTCAAAGCTATGGTTTTTCCTGTAGTGTTGTATGGAAGTGAGAGCTGGATCATAAAGAAAGCTGACCGCCGAAGAATTGATGCCTTTGAATTGTGGTGCTGGAGGAGACTCTTGAGAGTTCCCTGGACTGCAAAGAGAACAAACCTATCAATTCTAAAGGAAATCAACCCCGAGTGCTCATTGGAAGGACAGATCCTGAAGCTGAGGCTCCAGTACTTTGGCCATCTCATGAGAAGAGAAGACTCCTTGGAAAAGACTTTGATGTTGGGAAAGTGTGAAGGCAAGAGGAGAAGGGGACGACCGAGGATGAGATGGTTGGACAGTGTCATCGAAGCAACCAACATGAATTTGACACAACTCCGGGAGGCAGTGGAAGATAGGAGGGCCTGGCTTGCTCTGGTCCATGGGGTCACGAGGAGTCGGACACGACTAAACGACTGAACACACATGATATTATCAGGTGTACTGTTGTTTCACACCACCAGTTAACATGAGTCCATAGTATGAATTAAGTTGCATCTACTAAAGTTAAGGGCTTGACTTTATGGTTTTTTCGAAGTGGGCTGAGCATGCTAAATAGGGTCGCTGGGAGGTCCAGTACTCCATTTGCTGTGATCCTTATATCCAAATGATATGCAGACTTATTTGGACCATGCCAGCCTGCTATCAATTTGCCAGTACTGTATTATGGAGGAGCTTTAAAAAAGAGCAGATAATTGACAAATTAAACACTTCTTCATTCCATGGATGGGCCAAGGAAGTGATTTTTTTAAAAAAAGTGTATTAGGATGACAGATTCCATTTGTCTTTCATTTTTTAAAAAAATGGTGCTTTGCATCTGTGCCGCGCTAACAGACTTCAATTTTTTTACACTTTTTCTCCTCCTCCATACAGCTAAGGAAGTGTTTAATTTGCCAATATCCTGAAGTGGTTGTCTTTATAAGCAATGTTTAATTTGTCAATATCCTGAAGTGGTTGTCTTTTGCTTCATGACATGGCAGATTAAAAGAAGGCGGATTGTTTTGGTTCATTTCCAGTGATTGCACATGCTGGAAACAAACCAAATCAGGGCGATCATACCTATACTTAAAAGAAGTAGAGGCTCCTGAGAGAGGCTAGAAAGGTGTGGATAGAAACATTCTGGAGGTGGGTTGGTTCACTCCAGTAAAGGTATTGTCTGATTGCTCGCTTTAGGAGTGAACCAGACTTTTCCCACTGCAGACCCACTCATTCATCCCCCTGGAAACTGGCTAAAAATATGAAACAAATTATACCAGAGAGGCAGGCTTTGCAGCACTGGTGGAGAAACAGAAAAAAGGGGAGGCTCCAGGTGGTGGTGGGAATTATTAAACAAAAGGTATGTGTGACACTGAAAATCAATGAAAAGAAGATGCTGCATTGGAAAGAGGTAACAGCCAGGAGATCACAAGGACTAGGGCCCACTGGGAGAAAGACTTATGCTATTGGTGTTGGAGCACAGGAGAAGAATCCTTTAACAGACACCCAAGGCAAATTGCTTTCTTTATATCAGAGTTCTTTTATACAATGCCAAATCTCCCAGCTAAATAATTAGTGCTGTCCTGGACCGTTGTATTCTTCTTGGATGTATCTATCGCAGTATATTTAATCTGAAAGCCTCCTGCTGTTACTGAAGCATCAGATAAGAATTTCAGAGTCATTACATTCCCTGGAAGTAGAAACAAAGAAAGGGGAAGATGAAAAGAGATTACTTCATTTGTATTGACTTGGGTCCAGACTATCTGAAAAAATCATATTCTAAGCCTATAATCCTGCCTGGACTTTGGGATCTAGGAGAGAGGCTCGCCTGACTGAGAAGCGTGTTTGCTGCGGACATGAGAGAGATCATTTTTGGGTGGCCTCTCTCAGATTATGGGGCTCTTTGTTGAGGGAGGCTAGGTTGACTGGCTGCCTCCCTGACGTTTGTCTGCTGCAGACAACAACATTCCTGTGCAGCCAGGCCTATGGTGACTGACTGACAAATATGCTGCACTTTTCTATCATTTTATTGCCATTCCTATAAAATGGGTTTTAATTGTGTTTCATTTTAATACATGTTTTAATATAAAAATGTATTCTGCTTTGCTTGTGCTATCTATTAATTATACCATAAGTCCCCCCAAAATGGGAGAGAGACAGAATATCAAACCAACCAACAATGTTGTTGCTAACACTGTTAAAGATAATAAATGTCATTTATTGGATAAAATCCTATTGGTTGGTGTAGTAAATTGTGCTAGAATAGACCCATTGAATCAATAGTGATTTAGTGAGTCAACCCTTCTCTTAAGTTCCACTGATGAACATGGCTTTCTCTATAATGGAAGTCACAGTGAGAGTAAGCCCAGTTGAGTCCATGTGGAGGATGAGTCCATGTGGAGGAGCTGGCTCACCAAATCCCCATAGTTTCAATAGTCACTTATGACATATGTTCACGCCTGAAGATCACTCATAGAACAGAGCTGGAAGGGACCATATGGATCATTGAGTCCAGCCTCTGTGAAGGAGCCGCAGTGGGGAATCGAACGCCCACCCTCTTGCTCCACAGCCAGATGCCTAAACCACAGAGATGTATGAGCCTGCTGTAGTGCTATCACTACACTAAGCAACAGCATTTTGACCCACATGTGAAATGTACTGAGAAATTGTGGAGGAAGAACACTTGGATAGTTCAGTGGTTTAAGTGTTTGTTATATTTGACCACTTTGCTTGTATGAACACACTTCCTCAGTTAGTGTCAAACTTTGTCTGAAACTCTTAATAACTATTGGCCTTTTTGGTGGATGGCAAGCTTCTTTATGCAATGCTATTTGAGACTGACTGGGAAACGGTACCGTTTTCGTTCATGGCATGTGTGTATATAGTATTACCTGTGCTAATGATGCTATCAGGAAGTTCATCTCCGCAGTACCTGAAAAACAAAATGACCAGTTCCCTTGTTAAATAGTACTAGACCCAAATGCAGTTAGACATTTAGTGTAATACTGAGTTGATGTGAGTTTACAAAAGCATCAAGGTAGGGAGAATAGCAGGTTATGGATGAGATATTCACTGTTGAAGTTCCATCAGATGAAGTCAGCTTCAGGTACAAAGGTTCATAGAAACAAGAACGGATCATCTGCAAGGCACCACAAGACACTTGGCTTGTTTTTGAATGAGAAGTAAGACAGCTGGAGTGAGTGGGGTGTGGTTCTTTGTGTCTGTTTTGATATTTTGGAGGGATTTCAGAGTTAAAGATTGGGAGGGGAATGCCTAGGGATTGTGACACATGTCTTATGAACAGGAGTCATAAATTGGAGGAAATGCTTGAATTAGGTCCAGGAAAGGGGTTCCCTTGGGTGGGAGACAAAGACGTAGGTGTGGGTAAAAAAAGCTGGAAAAGGTTAGGGAAGGAGCGTTCAGTTTTGTATGTGTGTGAGTGTGAACTGCCATTTTGCTCAGAACCTCGGAGACTGGGTGGGATTTTAAAAAATCCAAACAAATAATTTACACGGCTTCTTCCCATTTTTCTTTCTTTTTTCCTCGATACTTTTTGTGTGACACTGATGTATCGCATTGCGAAAATGGAAAAATTATGTTACCTGCCCACAAAGCCATTGACGTCATCATAGCTGTCATATATTTCTAAGTAATCAGCCATGCAAGCCATATCATCTTCAAGGTCAAAGTCGAGAAACTCTATTTGAATCCGCTGGCCGTACTTCACTCTTATATGCCAGTAACAGATTTGATCGTCTTCATATTCATTTGGGTAGCCGGGGGTTTTGAAGATATGCTTTGAATCTGTGAAGATGCCACCACAGTCTTTTCCTAGAGGGAAACAGGATAGAGTCAGATCTCTGATTTCTGTGCCATATGTGGGAGCTGTCGCAGGTTGGTATGGATATCTTGCTAACATAAACAGGACCACCAGTGATGCCTATGCAACTCTTGCTTCAAGTCTATATATTCAAGAGAAAGGAGTTATGGTGAGTAATGAACCAGTGGTAATAGGAGGAGACTTAGTAATTTTTCCTCCCACCATTCTCTTTCTCTAAACTATCTTCTCCTATTCTAGTGGTTCCCAACCTTGGGTCCCCAGATATTCTTGGACTAAAACTCCCAGAAGCCTTTTCACCACTACTTGTGCTGGCCAGGATTTCTGGGAGTTGTAGTCCAAGAACATCTGGGGACCCAAGGTTGGGAACCCCTGCCCTAATGTATCAATTATATGAGGAAAAGCATTAGGGAGATTTTACTGAAACCATCTGGGGACCCAAGGTTGGGAAACCCTACCCTAATGTATCAATTATATGAGGAAAAACATTAGGGAGATTTTACTGAAATTAACAAGCCCTGTCCATACTTTCCTCCACAGTCAAATCATGTCTGCGATTAGTAGCTCATGAGGCTGCTAGGACAGGTAAAACGCAAGGTTAGTTCCAGGTGTTGAGGGACATTAGAAGAAGTGTTCTTGCTCCCTCCTCTTTGGAGCTGGCTACATATTAGCTTGACAAAGGATGGACTGGGCCTTCTGATGGTCAGCACTAGTGTCACCCTCCTTTCCTCCCTCTGACGCTTCTTCCAGGTTATCCCAAGTGTGTGCTGGTTGTTCTCTGTGAGCTGGGAAGGAGGCTCCCCCCCCCCATGTTTCTGTGGCATGTTTTTCACACACCCATTCTTTCTTCCTTCATTTGCCTGCACTATTTATCTATGGCATTCATTGGCCAGAATCCAGTTTGTTGTGGCATCACTTTGCTAGGCGTTAGGCCCAGGGAAAGCAGATTGCACAATTCTTAACATCACGTACATCATATTTGATCTTGCTTGCCCTCACTGAAGTGTCTGAACACTGTGTTGGCTGACGCCAATACAAATATCCTAATTCATATCATAGATTGGGGTTCAAAACTGTATCAGTTCTGGGGTCTGTATTTCGACCTGTCTGCTGTGAAAGTTTGGAAAACCAGTTCTTCCCCTTCTCGTGCCCTCCCCACACACACTTTCCCTCTTCTTGGTTTGGAAGACTGCTTCTAGACAGGAGCCTTCACTGCTTGCATATTGAATCACAATGAGCTTTCCATGTGATGGGACACGTGTCATTGAGTTTGGCCAGCATCCTGCTGTATCACATCTATCTCAGTGGATAGAGTATGAGTGAGGGCAGCTAGCCATGCTTCTACTCGTTGGTCCCTTTCCTTTTCCTCTCCTTCCTATTCACTGCAGAACCTTTTTGTTTCTGAGCATCTGACCAGGTGTACATACATCATGTATGTACATATCTGACCCTTCATTATGTCAGTGGAAATTAAGGACCCTCTGCAGCAATGGCATTCCATGCATTCCATGATGTCTCAAGGATTTTTCTTCTGTGTTGAAATTCTACATCCACTTAGGGACTGTTGTCTGCCAAGCTGCTGTTAGCAAATGGAATTTCAAGGCTGGCTCACAACTTTTTGTTGCCTGAGGGAGGTCAAGAAATCATGCCACCACCCCCCCATCTACCCATGTCAGTTGCTTGCTCCTGTGTCAGGAAATTCGCTGGCTCACAACTTTTTGTTGCCTGAGGGGGGTCAAGAAATCATGCCACCACCCCCCATCTACCCATGTCAGTTGCTTGGTATTCAAAGCCAAACAAATCATTCTTGCTCCTGTGTCAGGAAATTTCACATCTCTCCCTTACTTCCTGCTTTTATTTTTTAGGTAGAAAAACAAGAAATTAAAGAAGTTACTTGTAGCTTGATGCCCTTCTCTGACACCCATCATCTGCTGCTCTAGGTTGTCACCTTACTCTGCCTATCAAGTCTGTCTCTTAAAAAAGCATCACTCCTGCATGATTAGGAGCTGCATTCTGATCTTTCAAAAGGCTTGACGTGCCATCGCTAAGAGAGGGAGGAGACAGAGAATCACCAAGTGTACCGGAGCTATCTTTGCCTTGATAGAAGCTAACTGGACCCATACATACTACCAGACAGCGGGAAAAGTAAAAGTGAAAAGATCTTCAGACTCTAATCTGTTCCCACTACAGAAAGGAACAACACTGCCTTCAGCAAAACAATCTTGCTCATAAAGAATAAAGACACGTGCTCTGGATGAGAAAGACACGAGTCAAGCAACCAGAGCAAGCTACACAGTTTCATTATGCTGCTCACCACCCAAACAGCACATTTGGAAAAGATATTGATTGCCTCCGAGAGAATGTGGCCAAAGAGGAGGTGAAGAAAGGCTGACTAAATTTATTTCTAAGAACAATATGCAGCCTCTCCCATTTTTGTCAGGTTCAACATCTGTGCGTGTTCTCCGCCCAGGAAGCTTCCCCAGCTGCTTCTAGGAGCAGACACACACAGATGTTTTCATTGGTTATTGTGGAGTGTCATTCCCTGTAGCACTTTTTAGAGAGTGTGAGGCACTCGAGTGCTAATTGTGTGAAACATATGAAATTGATGACAACGTTAAAGTGTGCAAAATTAAGAGAAAGAAAGAAAAATCTTTCTAATATCACAAATAGATACAGGAATATGAAATACATTTATTGCTGTATCCACAGATCATAAAATAAAGTCATTTCTGATATTAGCTACAGTATATTAATGGTAATGCTTTCTAAAGCTAATTCCTGTGTGTTGTCAAGTCAATTCTGACTTACAGCGACTCTTTTCAGAGTTTTCTAGGTTGAGGGTACTCAGAAGTGATTTTCCATTCCCTTGTTCTGGGGGCAGCTCTGGAACTGTACAGCTTGCTCAAGGCCATAAGGGCTAGATGTTTTCCTGGAAGGCAAGTGGGGAATCGAACTCTGAAACTCTGGCTCCACAGCCAGATACCTAAACCACTAAGCCACCTAGCCAGCTTAATAGGGCAAAATTATGTCCGTCCGTCCGTCCGTCCGTCCGTCCGTCCGTCCGTCCGTCCGTCCTTCCTTCCTTCCTTCCTTCCTTCCTTCCTTCCTTCCTTCCATCCTTCCGTCCTTCCTTCCGTCCTTCCTTCCGTCCTTCGGTTTTTATACCCCCTCCCCTATCTAGTGGAAACTGCTACTCGGGGCAGTTTACAAAAATAAACCAAAAATAATACTATAATTCCTCCTGCAAGACTTCATTGTGCAGCTGGTCAGTTTCTGAACGTAGACAAAGAAGTATTGTTGGATAATTGCAGTACTGCATAGTGTGTAATGAAGAGGGAAGCTCCCTAGCCCCAGAAAATAACGCAGCTTCTAATATTGGTGACAGTTTACCAATGCTAACGCTTTCCAATATTGACAAGTGTACGTAAATCCAAGGGACTAAACCCAAAACTCTGAGAAGCTTTGGGGTTTTCAGTGCCCTCCCTGTAAAGCTCTCCCAGGCACCCCTGAGTGGGTCTGTAGGGCTTTACGGCAGTTAGGGGAGCTGCAGAAGAGATGGTGACGGCTCTGCCCTGCTTCCAGGGGTGTTGAGCATATGGGATGCTGGTCCCTGTATACTATGCAGTACTCAGTGCACAATGAAGCATCCAACACCAGGATGGAAAATGCAAACCAGTCTGATCTAGTGCTGTGTTGCTCACATATTGAAAAGCCCAACAGCTTGCACATTCTTTGACAACAACAAAAATATAAATCACCACAACTGTTGGAGTATCTTCCTTCTTTTGTGCCAAACCCAAGCCACCTAAACCCCAGCTAACCTCAGACTTGATCACGTTATCCATAGGATTTCAGAAGCAGGTGGATCAGAATAAGAAAGCCCCTTTTGCTGATATTTTCTGCTTTCCAAATGGCTGCTTTCTGTGGCCATTTATTTTAATTTTTCCCTCTCCTACAAGCGTCATAGGCGACATCCTTTCTTTGACTTCCAGCAGCTCAGGTCGGGGGTCAAAGCACAGAAGCCCTGAACAGGAAACGCCGGGGGAGCCCTGCACGCTTTCTTGGTAGGCTAGCCAGATGGAATGCACAAAACAGGGCTTCCCTGACAATCCGCCTCAGGGGCACATCAAGGACTTCAGCCTTGGTTCCCTTGCCTGTGGAAAGCGAGGTCTTGGCACAGGGAGTCTAGTGTGTTTTGACATTGTTGGACCCTGGGGCCTGTTACTGATGCTGCCTGGAGACTGGCCTTGCCTTGTATTAGCAGCTGTTTTCCTGACCGTTCCTTCTCAAGAAGGAAGCTGGCACATGCTCACAAAGATCTCAGAGGTCTCCAGGGTGTTGTCATTCCAAGGAGACAGGCCCTGGGAGTTCTGCCCTGAGCTGCTAACAGGGAAGGGAAGGGACAAAACAGTAGATGAGTGACGCAAGCTGCCTTGGCGATGTAGACTCCCAAAGCTCAAGACCTTGTTTACTAGGTTTGCTTACTAAATTTTTAAATTCTGCTTTCCTTATATTTTGGCTGGGTGTCCTCTAGCAAATCGTTGTGTGTTTGCATCCAACTCACAGAGATTATGTACGAAAGTGGTGCGCCCAGGTTGGTTTTTTAAAAATTTTCTCTGCTATATGTAAGTTCAATGATCATAGGTATCATTGTCAATTTCTTTTCCTCTTCTCCAAAGACAGTGACTGGTATTAAATGTAGAGTGGAAATAAATTCCTCTGCACATTGTCTCATCATGATGGACGGTGTGTGTTTGTTCATGATGACATGCGCCAATCATATGCTAATTGTGGCTAGACCAATGAGACCAGTAAGTTCCAGTATTTTTTGCCGTAGAACCATGGTGCCAACACTGCAACAGTAATTCCACAACCTTGTGCTAACAGGTGTGGTTCTTCAGTGTAATCTCTGCTGCAGTGCACTTCTTGGTATTGCCATGTCTCTGGAAATCTTTCTTTGCTGTTATCCTGAAGTGTCTCTGCCTTCTGCTCCTCCTTTGTAACATTAAAATATTAATGTCTTCAAATGGTAGTCCCAACTAGAGTAGGCCCATTGAACCAAGGAGATTTGCGTTACTTTTGACTGACCATAGGTTTTGTTATATTTTTTATTGTTAGGGAATGAGGGGGAGGCTTCTGATTTTTCCTGCCCCAGGCAGCATAGCAGGTTCAGCAGTTTTTCCCCAACACACCTTAATGGGCATTGTGGAGGGTGGGAGGGAACAATTTGCCTCTCAGGTAGCAGACTGAGAATGAATATATATATATATTTTGCCCAGGCTACTTGTTTTATTCTTAGTGCCATATTTTTGTTAGTCAGAAACTGACGTCCTAGAAAAGGAAGTGGTCAGGAGCCAGGCTATTTCAGTTTTTAAGATCAAGTACTGCCAGCAAAGTGGTGAAACACAGGTCATGTTACTACAGTGTTTTTTCCTCATGCTATGAAACCTGTAATATCATCCCCTAGAAAGAAGCCACCAAAGCTGATGGAAGCATTCATTCATTCATTCATTCATTCATTCATTCATTCATTCATTCATTCATTCATTCTCTACACTGCCCATCTAGCAAATCACTGCTTTGGGTGGTGTACAATAAAGAAAGGAAACATAAATTATGAAATTGCTCTAAAACACCAAACTATTGCAAAAATAAACACAGAAACCAAGATGGCGGCAAATAAAAACTTCAGAACACACCATGCAATATTCCTGTCCTCCGTCCTCTACTGTCCTGATTAATGGGGGAAGAACCTCTCCAAAGGCCTTACTAAACAGTGCTGTTCTTAGGAGCTTTTCCAAGATGCATAGGGAGGGTGTCTGCCATAATCCTGCAGAAGATAATTCCACAAGTGGAGCATGACTGCAGAGAAAGTCGGTTTCTAGTTGATGTTTTCCGGGGTGATATTATTAGAAATCTTTAAAAGATATTATCACAGACAAAGACATAGCCTTAAGAAATACGTTTATTGTTCACCTACCATTGGGGTTATAGCAGTAAGCATCCCATTTTTCACTCCTGTTGAGTCGAAAACCATAATCAACAATCCCAGTCTTCCCAAAGCCACAGTTGCTTCCAGGTTTCACAATAGGGTAGCCAACTCTCCCCTTCGCTAGCCAGCCAGCAGCACACATATGAAATCCTGAGGAATAAAAGGCAAAGTCATAAAAGCCCCTTATGGGCAAACCGTGAACTTCAGATTAATAACCTTATGGACTTGATGCCAAAAAGCGGGCACAGATGCCCAGTTATTTTAAATTGAATTTGGTTTGGCTAGCAAGAGAATTTCTATCTTAGGCATAGCACATTTTTAATGCATGTTTCATATTTTAAAAAAATGTGTCAACTTTTGTCTTTCACAATAAGAAAAATCTGTTTTCACTTTAAACAAACGAACGAACAGCAATTGGGTACAGATGCTTGCTCAATGTCAGGAATTACAATCTTTAGCACATGTATTCAAAAATGCTGGACCAGAGTACAGCATTGACTTTTGGGTCTTGTGAATTTATAAAACACTGCTGAAAGAAAATGGCCAGAACCCTATTGGGTTTGTGCAGTGCAAATCCAAAACTGTGTACCTGGTGTGTGCAATCATTCCAGGTGCCGATTGTGGCATACTTGGTGGCAGAGTGAGGCATGAGACTGACAGCCTGAACATTGAGAAAGATGCTTGAACATCCTTTCTTAAATGTGTGATATTTTGCAATAAAATTTTGACCAATGCTTTCTCTTCTCTATAGATTACAATGAAATATTGCATCCTCAGGGTCACAATGCAACACGTTGTTGTTGTTGTTGTTGTTTAGTTGTTAAGTTGTGTCTGACTCTTCGTGACCCCATGGGCCAGAGCACGCCACACACACACACATTTGTCTATTGCTTATGAAGTAATTATGGTGAGGTATAACACACTGAAGAAAGTAGGAAAAACCACTGGGCTAGTCAGGTATAATCTAAACCAAATCCCTTGGTTTTTATCACAGTGGAAGTGAAGAATAGATTTAAGGAACTAGATTTGGTGGACAGAGTGCCTGAAGAACTCTGGATGGCGGCTCGTAACATTGTATAGGAGGCAGCAACAAAAACCATCCCAAAGAAAAAAGAAATGCAAGAAAGCAAAGTGGCTCTCCAACAAGGCCTTGCATATCGCAGAGAAGAGGAAACAAAATGCAAGGGAGATAGGAAAAGTTACAGAAAATGGCATGCAGACTTCCAAAGAATAGCAAGGAGAGACATGAGGGCCTTCCTAAATGAACAGTGTAAAGAAATAGAGGTAAATAATAGAAAAGGAAAAACCAGAGATCTGTTCAAGAAAATTGGAGCTATCAAAGGAATATTTTGTGCAAAGATGGACATGATAAAGGACAAAAATGGGAGAGACCTCACAGAAGCAGGAGACGTCAAGAAGAGGTGGCAAGAATACACAGAGGAATTATACCAGAAAGATCGGGATGTCTCAGACAACCCAGATAATGTGGTTGCTGACCTGAAGCCAGACATCCTGGAGAGTGAAGTCAAGTGGGCCTTAGAAAGCCTGGCTAACAATAAGGCCAGTGGAGTATGAAGGGAAAGACCAGAAGTACTGGGTCTTTCTGGTCGAGCCGTCTCTCATAAAGACTTCTAAACAAACTCAGACTAGCCCACCGACTACCCTGGGTTGTAAAAGAGATCAAAGCTCAGACACTCATGATTTAGAGGAGGCAAATCCACAAAGGAAAGGGGTGTCAAAAACGGTGGATACCAAAGAGTTGGAAGAGAGATGGAAAGGGTTAATAATAACTAAGCATTTTAAGGAAGAATTGGCGGGAAGGAAGGAGGTTCATGAGGTGGTGGAGGAAGGGGGGCTGGGAGAAATAAAGGGAGAACGGGATATCATTCCTGGAGGTTGGGAATGGATATGGTTGCAGGACCCGTGGACGGGAAAATGGGAACAAGTCCGGGTCCCTAAAGCTGAAGCGGAGAATCGGAGGAAGAAAGGATTACTCCAAAGGCCATCGTATTGGGGTGAGACCGAGACGCGTGAATGGAGGAGAAAGATTAGGGAACAACAGGAGGCCATAGCTAAAGAGAGGCTCGCCGGGCATGGCATTTAGAATTGAGGAAGATGGGGTGCT